CCCCCCCTCCTTTCTCTACTTCTTTTTTTCCTTCCTTCTTTCTTTCTTCCCTTCTTTCTTTCTTTCTTTCTTTCCTTCTCTCTTTCTTTTTTTCTCCCCCCCCTCTCTCTCTCTCACTCTCTCTCACTTTCTCTTTACATATTTATCTATCTCTGGAAGAATCGCCATTCTCTTTTTTGATGCTGATCCTGAGAGAGGGGGAACGATCGGGAAGACATTGTGGATGAGAAATTCTTATACATTTACCCCCTCTCCCTCCTCTCCCTTCTCTCCCACCCCCCCCTCTCCTTTTCTCTATTCCAGCACCACAAGACACTGCAGCAAGCCTCATGGACAAACGGAAAGAAGCATTGAAGAAAAAGTCGCAGATGGAGCAACTCCGGTCAGTGAACACAAAAAAAGCCTTTATGTCTTTACCTTGCCGCTGTCGTCGAAGTCGTCATCATCATCATCATCATTATCATCATCATAATCATCATCGTCATCATCATCATCATCATCATCATCATCATCTTCATCATCATCATCATCATCATCATCATCATCATCATCATCATCATCATCTATTGCAGAGTAGAAAATGTTAAATATGATGAAGAACTGAATGATAATATATTATTTCGGGTATATCATATGTATTTCAAACGATGTTCAAAATTTCGTATATAAAGACAGGCTTCAACAGGAACATACTTAAGGAAAAAAAGAAGAAAAAAATCTTCGTCGACCATAGCAACGAAAAAATTCACTGTGAACAGATGTTCGGTATTAGTGCCAAAGAGAATAGTGTTTTGATGAATTACTAATGTGGACTTTGCCATGGCCCTGGCTGAGCGTTGAGCGTACAGACATTGTCAAAGTGGCGTCGGTGACTAGTGTTTAGGCTACCGAGCGGGTCGGGGATTCGAGTCTCAGCTCGGTCCGACGCTGTATCCTTTGGAAAGGCACTTTACACGAATTTCCCACTTGGCTCGGTCCTTTTGGAGATGGACATTAAACTCGGACGTCCCGCCTCTAAAATAACCTAATAGTGTTGATAAGGGCGTTAAACCTGTACCATTTCACCATTTTTTTCACACTGTCAAATCAATTAATTACTGGTCAAACAAAGCGAGACCTCATTATTACATACAATGTTCTATCTGACTTTTTTGGCCGTTTTGAGTTACCACGACCGCGGGATCAGAATTCAAAGGATCCACCTGCTCTATCAAAATCGTAAGATTATTCTGAGTCGCAGTCAAGATAATAATATGCAAAGAATTGCATTTAAAAAAGCTTGACATAAGCCTATTGTGAAGCTCAAAATTTTTAACTCGGTATTGGGCAGATAGAACTTTGTAACCCTGAAGTAACACAGAGTAAAGCAGGACTATGGTGTGGTCAAAAGTCAGTGGCGCAACTTATCCTCAAATATCCATTTTAACAGGTGAATGTCGCCTATACTTTGCACTGCAGTTTGTATCAACACGTTTTAACTTAGTCTATTTTCCCCACAATAATTGAGACTATTTATTAAAAAGCTTTTCTTCATAAAATTACGTTATGAAATATTTAAAATCTCAGTCACGCGACAAGCAAAAAAGATAAATCATGTTGTAATGAACACATTTTTGCACTAACGGTTCTCAAAGCATGCCTTTTTATGCATAATTCGGCAATTAGAAAAAAAAAATGACGGACTAGCTTTAAAAATCGACATTGCTCAAGCTGTAAATCCTTTAAAATCTGTAGAAACCACCCATTTTAATTTTTAAAAGTATTTTTATGGAATTTTCTAGAATACGGCTAACTGGTGTTTACGAAAATATTTATCTGTTGAGACAGTCAATTAACACAGGTCATTGTGCGAAAGCTGGAGAGTCTATAATCGACAGTTTGGGAAATAATATTTGACAATAGCCTAAGTTACGCCACGAATTTTTGACCGCCCTATTGCTCAGAAATGGCGGCATTTTTAAACAACCTTTGTTATCAGGTGTAAACAGCGTAGGGAAAGATTATCTGCAAGTTAATGAAATAGCTTCACCACATAACAGTTGCAATATTATTGAAAAGCTAAAATAATAATATAATTGCGGCTTGAATATTTTGAATCTCGAACAGTCATTATCTCGAGCAAATTAAAAGTGTTTAAAAGCAATAGTCAACGTTTTTTCCCAAGTTCCGGTGTCATTAAGGGCGATGTTAGATTGTTTTGTCTTTCTGTGTGTTTTCCCAACAGAACATTATTTAATTTGTGTTTCAGAATTTGCGGTGCCCTCTTCCGATCAGAAAACAATGTCCGATATAACGATTCTTAGACTCGTCTTGCACAGGTAGAGTTACAGATACAACAGTAACTTTTTTTTAAAGGGGGGTGAAGTATTTATCGATTCCCTAACTAATAAAACACTACTACGACTGGAGCTACATCGAAAAGCTAGTAGCACCTTTCGTCCTTGCCAAACTTTCAGGGTCATTACCATCACTCCCCCCCCCCTCCCCCCTTTCGCCCACTGCTATTTTCCTTGACCATGACAACTGTGTGAGCGGTTCGGAAAGACCTGGGGCAAACATAACAGTCTGGAAAGCTGGGTATTGAAAGGAGGTGGGGGAGGAAGTGTCTGGCAAATGTCGAAAAACAGAAATTGAAGATACATGTGTGGTGGTTGGGTTGGGGGTGGGGGCCGTAACAAGACATAAAGGAGGAAACGTGATTTTGGGGT